AGGACAAGTAGACCAGCCTGGAGCAGCTAGAAGAACAGAAGATACTTTGTGAAAGAAAGACCAGCAGAAAAAAATCAAAACAATAATGGCAGTCTGATTGACTACTACAAGAACTAGCAAACTGTTCGCCCAGGAGCAATCAAGGCAACTGGTCAGACATCTTCAGGACAAACCCCCTTCTAAGACTAAGACTCAAGGGGCTGGCTGATGACCACACTGCTCATTGATAAGGGGAAGAGGGGGAAAACAGCAGTGAAGTTGAGAGCTAAGTCCAACCACATTCAATAGACCCCTATAAACCCGAGTGGAGATCTGGATGGCAGCAGTATGGCAAGACCCGGGGACTCCTGGGCTTAGAAGCAGTGACATGGCTATAGAAGGCTAGAGCACAGAGCAAAGCATCCAGCTAATATGAAGTAAGGAGAGATACACAAGAACACCCATACATTCAGATAGTACCCACTTGACTGGCCTTCAATGGCTGGATGATCAGAACTCAACTAGAAGAAGAAAAAAGAGGGGAAAAAAGCAAATTGTTACAATTTGATGAACTTTACCTATACTTATGGATGTAGTAGCTCAAAAAAAGGCACAAATCTTTACAGTGAGGATCACTCCCAGCCAATCAGTACATAGGGTTGACAGGGATGGGCAAGTTAGACATTGGATACCCAAAATGTGTGTGTGTGGGGGGGAGGGGCTACAAAGGTAAGAAGTGACTGGTTTTACAAGCTTTCAAGAGGGTACCTAGTTCCAGACGGGGCAAGGGAAGATAGAATCTTTACTGAATGATGTCCAACCTGTTGGGACAGGGCAAATGAAAAGAGATGGGGATAAGATTCATGTGGTACAATAGTGAATAATTGCTATCAGGACTGAATGTGAGGGTCAGAAATGTAAAGGTAGATGTTCTGTAACAAAAGGAGGGGAGTGACTGATTTTGCAATCCAGGAGCAGAGGTCCCTGGGACCATCAAGTGAGAAGAGCGAAATACGGGACCCTATCCAGAAAAGCAGTTAACGCCAGAAATGGAGGCAGAGATGATATCGTGGACAGATGGAGTGGCTGGGGCACTGGACTCAGGGAGGGAGAAGGGTTGTGTGCTGATGGCCGGGAGGCAGGCCTGTGGGGTATACCCATTGATGATGCATGGAGGAGACTGTGATCATTGCAATGAAAAGAAATACAATAGGATGAATGTAAAACTGATGTTCTCCCATGTAAACCCACATAATTCACAATAAAAACTTAAAAAAATAATAATAAAAAGATGTAAATGGGGTCAGTGTGTTTTTGGTTGTATATGCTTTAGTTATATCATGTTAGGCACAAGTATGACTTTATAATTATATTTAGAGATTATGCATGTGGTTCACAGGTGCTAAGTTGACAAGGGTGGACTGTGTAAACCTGACTAGGCCAGGATTCTCATGGTTTAGCAGATGAGATGTGCTTATTCCCATGGTGATAACATTTAATATAGGCATAGTTAACTCTATGATATGTGACTATGAGCAGTTAATCAACTGATAGGTTGTTTCCTTGTAGGTGTGGTCTGCTCCCAATATAATGGACATGAGGGAAAGGCTCTCTCTGTCTTTTCCGCTAAGACCTGGGACTCTACAATTGTAGGGGATTCCCTTGATAATAAATTTCTCTTTATATAGATATATATTCCACTGGTTTTCCTTCTCTAGAAAATCCAGCATTGAGCTGTTAACCACAAGTTTGGTGGTTCAAACCCACCAATAGCTGCACAGCAGAAAGATGAGGCTACATGCTCCTATAAAGATTTATATCAGAAGCCCTATGAAGCAGCTCTATTCTGTCCCACAGGGTTACTAGGAATCAGAATTGACTCGATGGCAGTGGGGTTTGTCTGGTTTAACTCCAGTTTTGCACTATTTCTAAGAACTTTATGTACACTAAACATATAATCCCTACACTGTATAAATAAATAAAGTGTATAAAAATGTTTATTAAGCAAGTTGCCCAAGGTCACATAGCAAGTAAATGTCACATGTAGGATCTGAACCCCAACAGAGTCCATGCCATTCTCTGCCCTGTTCACTGCTCATCCTTGGGGAGAATAAAAATTAGAGCTAAAAACTAGAGACTGCTTCAGAGACAATCCAGTTTGGGCCTACAGTGTGCACCAGACCTCTTCATTTTACTAATAAATTAAGTTTTTGCTTGTTTTGGTATCAGTTTGAATTGGGTTTATAAAATGAAACTGAAGGAGTATTATACACTGGGAGATTTACCATGACATTATTTATAATAGATCGTGGAAACAACCCAAATGCACTAGAATTAGTGGATTAAAAACATCACTGCTGTCAAATCAATTCCAACTCCTGGCAACCTTATGTGTTGCAAAGTAGAACTGTTACATACAGTATTCTTGGCAGCAACTTTTATGGAAACAGACTGCTACAACTTTCTTCTGTGGTGCAAATGGGTGGGTTACAACTACCAACCTTTAGGTTAGTAGCTGTTGTTGTTAAGTGCCGTTGGGTCAGTTCTGACTCACAGTGACCTTATACATGATTTCGGAGGAGCATCTGGTGGGTCTGCAGTAAGTACAAAATATTTGTGCTACTCAGACACCCTACTTTTAAATAATAAATGACAGAAACAGCATTATGATTACCTATCATGTAGTCATTAAAAAATTTTGTTTATTGAAACTACCAACTGTTCTACGGGAGAAAGATAAGGTTTTTTTTTTTTCCCCGTAAAGATTTACAGCCTCAGAAACCCTATGCAGGGTCACTGTGAGTTGGAACCGACTCCATGGTACTTAATAACAACATGTCCATTATGGTGCCTTGGTAGTGCTTCCAGAACACTGAACTGATAGTCACAGAGTCAGCCTTTCACATGGTCCATCTAACCCAAGAGAGAAAGATGAGGCTTTTTGTTTCTGTAAAGATTTACAGTCTCAGAAACTCTATACAGGGTCTCTAGGAGTCAGAATTAAATTAATGACAGTGAGTTTTTTTGAGTTTATAGTCATTACAAAAATCTTGTAAATTAAAAAATTATATGTGCAACAAAAAGGGAATTGATTTTTTTTTAATTTTCTGCAAGTCTTGTAGGATGAGAGGGGAAGAAAAAGATAACCTTTTAAAGATCTAAAATATTTTGTTGTTGTTAAGCACTGTCGAGTCGGTTCTGACTCATAATGACACAGTATATGTCCAAGCAGTGCCGGTAGGTTTGAACTACTGACCTTGTGGTTAGCAGTCCAAAGTTTATCCTACAGCATCACACAAGGAATACTATAAAACTCCATGGGATTTTATTCTGAGCCAAGCATTAATAAAACTTACAATCCATTCAATCACAGAACAGAAACTCATGAAAGGAATTTGTTTCCCTTTTTTATCCCTTTTGCTATTTTATGTGTTCCTATATTTCCAGTGGGAGTACACTGGCTCCATATAATAAACAGTTCTGGACTGCCAATCCCAAAATCGGTGGTTGTAGACCACTAGTCGGTTTTCAAGAGAAAAATGAGGCTTTCTGTTCCTGCAAAGATGTACAGCCTAAGAAACCCTATACAGGGTCATTCTGAGTTGGAACCAACTCGACACACTTAACAACACAACACCATATCCCCAGTGGTTTTCTCAGGTTCTGGCACAGCAGCATTTGTTGAATGAAATGTGAACAGAAAAGTAAACAACTGGCAGTTTATGTCCATCATACTGCACAGTTTCAAGTTTCTTGCTAGATTTTCTTTATGTAAGAATTAAGTTTTTAGACTAACTTGAATGCAATGTGAATTATTCTTAATATGCTATCTTTTTCCAAAGTGCAATCTATTTTATTTTTTGATTTATCATCAAAGCACGTATCATTATTTTAAGTACTTTATATAGCCCCATTATTTTTCATATTATCAGTAGGTACATTAAAAAAAAAATTTTTTTTTTCAGTTTTTATTGTGAATTGAGTGATAGTTTACATGGGAGAACATCAGTTTTACACTCATTGTTTTACTGCAATGATTACAATCCCCTCTGGGCATCAATATTCAATAGTATTTGCTTCTATTCCCAGTTTTTTGTTTTTGTTTTTTAAATAACTGGTAAGTACAAGCAGAGGAGAAAAGTATTTAGAATTACCTTGACATGTATTATTAATTACATTATTAGTATGGCATGTAAGATAAGCCCTAGACCTCTAGGTCTGTTTGAACTGCAAGGTCAGCAATTTAAATTCACCAGTCCCTCCATGGAAACCCTATGAGTCAGAACAGCCCCGACGACACTTAACAACACCAACAATATGCTAAAAACTGCAGATTGTTTTAATAAAACCTATCAATATGCTTGGTGAGAATGTAAGCTCTGAATCAAAGGCTAGAAGAAAGAACTCCAGTCAACAGTATTCTTTATATAGGTTGTCCCCAAGCCTCATTTATAAACTACGTTGAGCAATTCTTACTTACTGAATATAAGAACCCAACTTTGAAGGGTCTGACAGCTAAGGACAACCCATTTTACAAACTGGCTTCAGAGGAAAGTATAAAATTACAAGAGAGGTATTAGATGTTAAGGTTTAAAACAATTCAACTGTAACATTTTCAGACTATGATATTATTATGCCATCTCTGAAAACAAATTCACACTCATCCCACCCAGTCTTCAAAATCTTTTATTTTTAGAGTTCAACGTCTTTCCAGGAAGTAGGAAAATGAAGGTGCATTCTCAGTAGTCACCTGACAAAAAACTATACATTATAATTGAAATTAAAAAAAAAAAAAGCAATGATTTACTAAACCCCTCCACCCAATATATTAGCATTTACATAATATATTTAGAATCATGTGATTTCCAGGGATTAGTATTAAGTCATACTTGGAAAGAAAAGATCACAGTGGCAAAGAAGCACACACCCTCATAAAAGACACCTAAATAACAAAATCATTGATGACTAATATTAAGAATTAAACGTAACACATTTTTCCTTAGAGAAAACAATTTTAGTTTTTAAAGAGCATTTACTTCTGACATCTCAATTCCTGATTTCAGAGGCTGCAGATTATGAACCTCTGTACCACACTTAGGACAGGTAAAGTACATGTCAAATAAAAAACTACTCTTAATACAGTAGTAACAGAAGATATGTTCACATCCTATGGTATGAGGCATGATGGGCCACTCTCCACAAAGAGAACATTCCCTGCCACTGGTGGCTAAGGTATTGTCAATACTAGGAGCACCAGTAAGAGGGATACACCATGAAGATAACTTGGCTTTCAACTTTTGGAAATTAATAAGTGGTAAGAGAAAAATCAGAAACTCAGCAAAACCGTGCCAGAGAAGTTCCCTATTCATATACTCAAAGCCAACTTCACGCATGTTTTGGGGCTTGCAAAATACAGAACGAATGCCGAGGAGGCGCTCTACCAAAGTTGCAAACTTTCCTCTTTGAAGGAAAATCAAGAAATTAATCAATTCACCTAATTTTAAAAGTCCCACCACAATATTCATACACTGCTTGGCTCTCCAGAATGATGCTAAGTGACGGTTTCTAAACAAATCATAGCATCGTTCTTCTAACCACTTCCCACCAATTGTACATACAGCATACCAGAGCTTTTGATTTTTACTGGGTGGCTGATATTGCAGGTTGGAAGAAAAATCATTTTTGTACTGGATATTTAAAACTGACTGCCCCACAGTGGCATTTTTGGAGTAGAAGGTGAATCTCCACAAGAAAACCCACAAGAATGCTTTTACCTCTGGTTCAAAGCGGGCTAAGAGCCCTGGTTTAAATCCATGAAAGCACTGAGTAAACTGGGACCAAACTAGTTGTTCCAGGGCTTTGTTCAGTTCAAGTGCATCCAGCTGACTTATTCTTAACACTCTGTTTGTACTCTTTGTATTCTCTTCTCTGGATGCCATGTCTTCTCTGAAGATCTCTAGGAAAATAATACAATTAGGGAATATCATCAAACAGTTGCAATCTTGTATTATCTCCTTAGCTTATACAAGGGGGCACCAGAAGCTTCATGGAAAAACGGAGTAAGATTCCAGGAACTTTTGAAGTCCTCTCATGACTGGAAAACTGTGACATATAGATTGCACAATACATAGACGACTTATTCAGTAGCATGAAAATAGAAAGTAACCAATCACTTTTACTTTGATTTTTTTTTCAGTCTTCTTTATCAAAGGAATAAATAGATGGCTTACTAAATACAATGAACTATTTGAACAATGAAAATTAATAAAACGAACAATGAAATGAATGGTAAGTCATGACCTCAGTTTAATTTCAAGCACTACTACTTACAAACCAAAAACCCACTGCTGTTGAATCAGTTCTGACTCAGAGTAACCCTGTAGGACAGAGTAGAACTGGCCCATAAGAACTTCAAGGGTGTAAATCTTCATAGAAACAGACTGCCACATGTTTCTCCCTGCAGCAGCTGGTGGGTTTGAACCAATGACTGTTCAGTTAGCAGCTGAGTTAACAAATACACCACCCAGGCTCCAGAGGTACAGTTATCAATAGGTCATTTAATCTTTCCCAAATATGTATTACATGGGCAGTAGATATTAGAAGGAAAATAAATGGACAATACATGTTTATTACTTGTATTAATATAGCAAAATATAAATACTAACTCCTACCATGAAGCATGACTACAGAAATGTCACTATTAACATACTAAAAAAACCAGACATTATATACTATTCTCTGCCACTCATCTGTCAGTTTGTTGTATTGTCGTGCCTTCTGTTGCCATGATGCTGAAAGTTATGTCACCAGTATTTTAAATACCAGCAGGGTCACTCATGGTGGACAGATTCCAGTGGAGCTACCAGGCTAAGATGGACAAGGAAGAAGGAGAGGCAGACTACATTTGAGTGGTTAGTGACTGAAAACCTTCTGAGTAGCAGTGGAGCACTGTTAGTTAGAGTGCCGAAAGATGAAACCTGAATAGTAGCGGAACATTGTCAGATATAGTGCCAGAGACAAGCCTTTTAGGTTGGAAGGCACTCAAAATAGACAGGGCTTCCTCAAAGTAGAGTAGCCTCCTCAAAGTGGTGGTGGTGAATATATGCCATGGAGTTAGTTCTGACTCACAGCAACCATAGTATATGGTTTCCAAGGCAGTAAATCTTTGCGGGACCAGAAAGTCACATCTTTCTCCCACAGAGCTGCTGGCAGATTTGAACTGCTGATCTTGAAGTTAGCAGCCCAATGCATAAACCGCTACACTACCAGAGCTGTTCTGTTCAAAGTTCAGTTGACCATAATGACGTGAATGGAGCCAAGTTTTCAGAACCTTCATTTGCTGATACTGAACAACTCATAATGAGGTGAAACAGGTGCAAACATGGAATGTACAAAGTATGAATCTAAGAAAATTGGAAGTTGTCAAAATGAAATGGAATGCATAAAGATTGATACCTTAGGCATTAGTGAGCTGAAATGGACTGGTGTTGACATTTTAAATCTTACCATCATATGATTTATTATGCTGGGAATGTCAAATTCAAGAGGAATGGCATTGAATTCATTGTCAAAAAGAACATTTCAAGGTCTTTCTTGAAATTCAACATGATAAGATAGTATCATACACCTACAAAGGAGACCAGTTAATACCACTCATTGTTTGTAAAATGCATACACCAACCAATAAAGCCAGAGATGATAAAATTGTGTGGCGCTTTGGGTTAATGGGCCAGACTGCAAAGACGTTTGAACTGCAAGGTGGGAGGTTCAAGTTGCTCCTCAGAAATCCTATACAAGGTTGCTATGGGTTCAAATCGACTCAGTGGCACTTAACAACAACAACCAACATTTCAGTCTGAAATTGATCAACCATACACTCAAGATGCATTTGATAATTACTGTTGATTGCAATGCGAAAGTTGGAAACAAAGAGGATCAGTAGGTAGAAAATATGGCTTTGGTGATTATTTATTCATTGCAAATATCTTTTTAAAGCAATATAAAAGGCAACAATACATACAGACCTTACCAGATGGAATATGCAGGAATCACACTGACTACATCTGTGGGAAGAGGAGATGGAGAAGCTCAATACAAGGCCAGGGACAGGCTGTGGAACAGACCATTAACTGATCATATGCAAGTTCAAACTGAAGCTGAAGAAAATTTTTAAATAGCCCAGATACTTGAAAAAAAAGTTCTGTGAGCTGAAATGAGACTTTGAATATACCCTGAAATGAGAAACATCATACAGGAATAAAGTAAAAGGTTACTAAAAATATAGCAAAGAAAGAAAACACAAAAATGGGTGTCAGAAGAGACTCTGAAACTTGCTGTTGAGCACAGAGAAGCTAAAGCAAATGGCAGAAATGATGAAGTAAAAGACTTGATGGGAAAATTCCAAAGTAGAGCTTGAGAAAACACAGTAAACTATTACTGGGAAATGTGCAAAGACCTGGAGTTAGAATACCAAAAGAGAACATGTTTGGCATAACTCATGCTGAAAGAACTGAAGAAAAACTTCAAGCATCGACTTACAACAACGAAGGACACTGAATAATGCAGATAGTATCAAAAGAAGATGGATGGAATACATACAGTCACTGTATCAAAAAGAAATGGTCAATATTCAATCATATCAAGAGATAGAATATGATCAAGAACCAATGGTACTAAAGGGAGAAGCCCAAGCTACACTGAGGGCATTAGTGAAAAACAAGACTCCAAAAATTTGACAAAATACAAATTGAGGTGTTTCAACAAACTGATGCAGCACTGTAGGCACTCACTCATCTATCGAAGAAATTTGGAAGACAGCTACCTGGCCAGTCAATTGAAAGAGATTCATATTTGTCTCTGTTTCAAAGAAAAGTGACTCAATGGAATAAACAAAAGATTGAACAATATCATTAATATCAAATGCAAGCAAAATTTCGCTGATGATAATCCAAAAACAGTCGCAGGAGTAGAGCGACAATGAGCTGTCAGAAATTCAAGCCTTATTCAGAAGAGGGTGTGCAATGAGGGCTATCGTTACTTACGTCAGATGGATCTTGGCTGAAAGCAGAAATTACCAAAATCAACACTCCTGGAAGCAGCAGTTGGCATAACGCATTAGGCACTCTGCTGCAAAAGACCTCTTAAAAGTGTTAAAGAGCAAAAATTTCAGTTTGAGGACTAAGGTGCACATGACACAAGCCATAGCATTTTCAAATGCCTCATATGTATATGTATGTGAAAGTCGGGCAATGAATAATAAAGACCATAGAAGAAACAATGCATTTGAATTATGGTGTTGGAGAAGAAAATTAATAGTACTATGGACTGCCAGAAGAATAAACGTATCTGTCTTGGAAGAAGTATAGTCTGATTACTTCTTAGAAGCCAAGATGTTGATACTCTGTCTCTCATATTTTAGAGATGATGTCAGAAGGGGCCAGCCCCTGGAGGACAGCATGCTTAGTAAAGTGGAGGGTCAGTGAAAAAGAGGAAGACCCCCAACGAAATGAACTGACACAGATGCAGCAGCAACTGGCTCAAGCATTACAATTGTGAAGATGGTGTAAGACCAGGTAGTGTTTCGTTACTACTCCCTATCGCCTCAAAGGCACCTAACAACAATAATTACAGTGCACATAGAACATATAACTATGATATAAAAAGGCATACAAAGATATCTTCACAAACATATTAAGAGAGATGAATAGGTACTGAAGGGAAAAATCTCTTCAAATTGAAATATGAAAAGTCAATTAATGATTAGGTAGGCATGACTGATTGATAAAAAATGTTATTAAAAGCCTATTATGTATAAGCTGATGTGGTTAAAATACTCAGTTGCAGCTGTGTCAGTTTATGGATAGCTTCGATACATAAAATATCAATGAACTGGTAAATTCAAACTGTGATAAAAACACGTTTACATTAAGTTTCTAAGTTAGGTCCTCCACACCCCAAGCTTGGTCATGATCCGTAGGCCTCCAAAGCCTCGCCCACTATTGGAAAGAACACAGAATGAAACGAGGAGATTTCACTTGAATCTCACTTGCCATTAACTGGCTGTAGGATCTTGGATGAGTTATTTCATATCTTCACTTATAAAACAATAGGCTGGAGACAAAATGGTCTCTTGTTGTTGTTGTTTGCCGTGGAGTCGGTTCCGACTCATAGCGACCCTGTACAGGGTTTCCGAGGCTGTCCTTTTAAATCTTATTATTTTAAGATATTTACAAAAAAGGAATTAAATCATGATTTGTTACAAGTTAAATGTTAAAAGGAACTGAAAGAGAGCTCCAAAGATTAAGCTGTACTTCTTAAAACTGTGAATCTTTGCCAGAGATGTTTTCAAATGAAAAATTAAAAAATTTCCCAAGAACCCGTGATGACTTAGTAGCAGAAACCCACATGCTTAACAAGTTCAAACATCTGAAACAAAACTTACTATTGAACAGGTAATTTAAGCACGTTTACTCTCAAATCAATTATGACTGAATCCCTTTTCACCCATAAATATCAACCACTTTCTCAGGAGATCTTACCTTTTTCCTGTCCCTGCAGCTGTCTCAAGACTTGATAGTCTATAGTTAAAGCAAAGAGGAGTTTTTGCTGCTGCGAGTTCCTCCGTGAAATCCTTGTGTCATACTTGCCAGGGGCTACAGAACAGGAGTTAGAGAGTGAGAATTTCCTTTCTTCACTCTACAAATTTAATCAATCTATTCTTTGTTCAAATATGCATGTTGTTGTTAAGTGCCGTCGAGTTGGTTCCAACTCATAGTGACCCTGTATAGAATTTCTGAGGAGTGGCTAGTGAGTTTGAACTGAAGACCTTGTAGTTCAAATTGACGTTTCAGTCCAGTGCTTATTCTACAGCACCACACCAGAACACACTCACTCTCACTCTCTATATATTATTTTTGTTAAGTGCCTTCGAGTCGGTTCCGACCCATAGCGACCCTG